TTTCTTCTCTTTCTTCTCTTTCTTTTGGAACTATGGATTGAAATCAGGGCCTTTGCACTGAATTACATGTGCATCCTTTTTTAAATTTTTAAATTTTGAGACAGGGTCTCACCAAGTCACTACACTACCTAGTCTGGGCTTAAAGCTAGGATCCTCCTGCCTGAGGCTCGCAGAGTACTGGGATTACAGGTGTATGCTACCTTGCCTAGGCAGGAACTTCTCATTCATAATCTAACCTCATTTAGCCTCCAGCATTCATCAAAATTACCATCTAAGTGTCCCTACCTGTTTAGGATTTCACTTGCTTCTGTTTTTGGTAAGTAGCTCAGCTCTGAGTTTCTGAATTTACTTGTCTCTCCAGATTTCAGGTTGGCAATTTGCCCTCTGAATTTACTTCTCTGACACATTAAAAATATAATGGATTTTCAGTTTGCTTAGCGTTCACTTATTGTCAGGATGGGAGTAATGACTGCCAAGGTCATTATATGTGGATGCTGAAGCTGGCTATCGTTTATTTTTTAGTTAATACATTCAAACAGAAACACAAAGGACTTATCTGTTAAATTCTACCAGCCATTTTGCCAGTCTGAGGAAAAGGGCCATCTTCAGTGATAGCAGAAGGGAAATTCAGAAGGATCTTGGGTCCCTAATAACTCTGTGGAATCACTATAACCCTAGATTGTGTGTGTGTGTGTGTGTGTGTGTGTGTGTGTGTGTGTGTTTGGACTTCTCATAAAATGAGAAAAATTTTAAGCCTTTATTTTGTGTAGGTCATGGTTTTCAAGTAGATGAGCTTGATCTTTGATTGATAAAGTACCCCTTCCTCATTTCACCTTATGCCTCTGTTGCATCTTACTGTCTATCCTAAAGTTTAAGGATACATTTTCTCTCTGTGTGTCTCTTTCCTTCTCCCTTCCCTAATGCCACCTTCTTTTATTTGTCCCACCAATTAATTCTTTCAATTTCTGATCTTATTTGCCTGATACTAGACAATTATTGGTTGAGCAAATAAATTGTTTTGATTATAACTCAGTGTAACCCTGAGGAGGCTAGGGGTTCACTTACAATCCATTTTCTGCTATCTATACCATAGCCCAGCATGAATATCCTTACCTTACCTCAAGAACAGAAAATTTCCAAAGCAAAATCAAAGCTTGAATAATTATCAAACCCATTTGTCAAGGCAAATACTTTAGCCAAATATCCAGGCCTCAGCAGGAAATATTTCTGCCCAAATTATCTCAATAATTTATTCGGTCCCCCACTTGGCTTTCTCTGTGGCTTCCTATGGTCTTCATAAGCTCCTGCAGCTATAGACATGCCAGTGCTTGGCTCCAGGGTAGAATACAGGAAGTGAGGGAGGTAAATATTGAAAATGCAATGCCAAGGGCTATAGATAGTTCCTCTGGGCTGGTCTTTGCTTAGGAATGCAGGGGAAATGCTGTAAAGTGAAGAGGAAAAAAAAGAACTGTATATTACATTTTTCTTCTTAGCACTTTTCGTGATCTGAAATTATGTCTTGCTTTTCTGAATGTGCTGGTTTTCCATCTTTGCTACTTTTCAAAGTGAGCTCTTAGAGGGCAAGACTCTGTCTTGTCATTCTCCTAGCAAGTAATTTAGCATAGAGTGAATAATTCGTAAATAATTCTTGAATGAATGAACACATGAAGGAATAAATGGAGACCCTCTTAGGGCCAGCACCACTCCCTCCTAAGGCTTAGTGCTAAGCCTGTTTCTTAGAATCAGACTACCCAGGTAGTAGCCTTATATTGCCCTTTAAGAGCTGCTATGAGTGAGCTTATATTCTTAGTCATACTGAATCTATTTCCATATCCTCAAAATGGGAGCCATAATTATACTCTCCAGATTACTCAATACACTAATTTTTGTGAGGATTAACAGAAGTGGTAGTGCTTTTCATACAATATTTTAAATATTATGTATTATTTAGTATTTATTCTTTTAACTCTACATTCTTTACTTATGCAGTCTCAAATACTTCCTTTCATCTCTGAATTCTTTTAAACTAGAGAAGCTCTTTGATTCATGACTAGGATGTAATTAAATATAGATATGTAATACCTATATATTAATTTTTTCATATCTTCAAAGTCATTAAGCACAGGTTGACCTTGAAATCTCCATAGGTATGTTCCTGAAATAAGAGTCTAAATTAGCCCTCTGCATCTTTAAAAAATATCTCAAATGGGAAGGAGATTAAGAGATGAAGGGAGGTCAAGAGAGGAGAGGGAAGAGGGAAGAAAAAGGAATTAAGCTGTGTTCTGTACATGTACCAACTCCACATAAGGAGTATAACCATTACATACTACAGACAGGTATTAATAAAAAATTAAAAATAAAAATAGTAGACATTAATTATCTTCCCTGCTGATACATATTATGATAAGCATCTTTTTTTTCCAAAATAGATGGGTCTCGTGTGTATTGAGAACCTGCAAGGTCACTGTCCTCCAACTTGATGCCATCTTTTTGTGATAATGGTAAGTCTTTACCCACAGTGATATGTACCCTTGCTATCATTCCCCCTTCTTCACACTGTAAGATTTTAAAAAGGCTTGGAGATTGGATCGTATTTGACTTGTAGCAAAATTCACCAAGAGTTAGTTCCCTAATCTGTGACTTGAAATTATAAAACACAATTCTAGCTTTATTCTAAATAGATACTGATAATAACTCTATAGACTAAACTCTATTTCTCCAATTCTTTTTCTGGTCTGCTCAATTTCTCATATGTATAAGGCAGAAGTGGGCACTGGAGTTCAGCAGTGAACACTAAGCACAAGGATCCTTGCCTCTTGGAGCTTAGTATTCATAGCAGCAGATTCATATTTTTAAAAGTAGATATTGTTTGTTAACAGTGATATATTTTAAAATGAAAAGCAAAGAAAGTGACAGAAAGGCAAGGTGCTGAAGAGAGGGGACTTCAGGGTGTTAGGGACAGAGGGAGTAGGGAAGGTTTAACTTGTATAGGGAAACCAAAGAAGACCTCAGTTTTGAGGTACCATTTGAACTGAGAACTTAAGATGATAAAGGATGGAGGTTTGTTGCAATCTGGAAGAAAACTGGCCCAGCCATAGCAGACAGGATCCAGTGAAAATCGCCTTCACTTATTGCAGGAATGGTAAGCTTGCATGTCTGGAACCGAATGAACAAGGTGAGAGAAAGGTAAGAATGAGATTGTGAGTGTGAGTGAGGGACAGACTCTATGGTATGAACCCTTCTTTGATTTAAAAAAATTTCAAATATATATAAATATACCAATATATCATTTTCTACTGATCTATTCCCTTCTCTGTATCTGTGACCATTAATTCTGATGGGTCAACTTCGTTAAACTGAGGAACATCTAATAGATTAAAAAAGCACGGTCCTACGTATTTCTGGGCATCTCATGGAAGTGTGACCTTGGTTATTATATAGTACCTTGCCTGACCCTCCCTGACATTGCTCCCCTGCTCTGGCCTGAGAATCAGATATTGTGTACATTAGGATAGTAGAGTAATACAGCACAACTCTCAGCACATTCAGTAGGTTTGATCATTTTCACTTTAGTCATCATTATTAATATCTTCTAAACACTTCACCCTTTAAGCATTATTTTATCTTTGAGATGAACCATTTCAAACAAATAGAATAATAAGAGAATAATTGGTAACTGATGCTAATGTAGCATGCATATTGAATATATATCAAAATATTTATTAGTGGAGGAGAGAGGGGAAAAAATAATTATATATACAGCTTGAAGTTACCTCCACTTTGCCTTTCTTCCCATCCCAAACCCCCCACTCCAATCCCCCATGAGAAATTTTTATTGCCCTCTTGCAAGCACTTTCAAAACTATTTTGGAATGATCAGACTTGATGGAAATATTAATATTCATAAAAATGTGAAAACTAAACAATGTGTTAGTTAGCTTTCTGTCACTGTAAAAGTTAGCAGCACTATTCAACTTATGAGGAGAAATGGCTTATTCTGGCTTATGATTTCAGAGGTTCCAGTCCACGATGAGTTGGTCCTGTTGCTTCTGGGACTATGGGGAGGCAATGTACCATGATGGGTAGTAAAGTAGTAAAGTAGTGTAGTAAAGTAGCTCATGTGACAGCCAGTGAGCAAAAGAGACAAAGGAGAATGAAGAGGTGTCCCAAGGTTCCCTTCTGGGGCACACCCCCAATGACCCAAAGACATCCAACTATGCCTCACCTTTTGAAGATTCCACCACTTCCAACAGAACCAGAGGTTGGAAACCAAACCTTTTTTTAACACAGAGGTCTTTCGAGGACATTCCAGATCCAAACTATTGCAAACAGCAAAAATGTGCTTTGATGAAAGAATACTGTGCAGATTACCAGCTATAAGAATGCAATATAGGTTAAAAAAAAATTAAGCACTAACAGTTCCTTTCAATAATCTAATAGACATCAACTATCCTTCTATATACATACATATTTTCCCTTCCTCTTTTCCTTTTCTCCTTTCCTTCATCCCAGTTGTTTGACATGAACTCATATTTTCAACTTTCACTAAATTTAATAATAGAAAGCACACGCACATGCACACACACATACACACACACACAGGAATATTGTGGAGGCCAAAATGATCATGGATGCTGCTTCCAGCACCACGTTTTATATGCTTTCTTTGGACTTGAACTTCAGAGTTTTCTGAGTTAAAATTCACAAGTGAAGGTGTTTCTTAAGTGCTTTCCCTCGTATAGTCATCTAGTCTGACATCTTCATTTTATAACTAAGAAAGCTGAGGTACAGAGAGGACCTCGCAGGTAGGTAGGGGCTAAGAGTATGACCGCTACTTTAGCCCTTTGTTATTTCCCTTTGATGAAGGGCAAGATCTAACAGGGAAAATGAAAAGGCTTAGTAACTCATGACTCTCCAATTGTTTTTAAAAAGGAAAGCGAAGATGGTTAAGTCTCCCATAAATATCATACGGAAATATTATGAAGAATAATGGCCAGAAGAGAAGGCCAAAATTCACATTAATGTTCTCTAATATAGCTTGTGTGGTTGTAACTGGGTTACAGTTGTGTGGTTTGTAACTGGGTTCAAACTGGAAAATCAAGTAGGTCGTCTGTTATTTTTTTCAGTATCTGTCACTGACTACTTTTGAGAACTTGGACCAGTCATTTTTCTTCTTAGTACATTTTCTTTTTTGTAAGATTAGAGAATTAATCAGAGATAATAATGCTTCTCTTTGGGTTGACTTTGAGTAGATTGAGTTTGGTATGCTCAGATCCTCCCTGCAGGGAAAGCCAACAACCCAACAAAGTGTTTACCTCTCCAAGTCAGTATATAGTCTGACTTGAGAAGAGGTGGTGCATTCTAGTTTTATGGGTTTCAGAAGAGATGAGGCCTGACAAGGAATGTGGAGAGATTTAATGCAGAACAGCCCTAGATTAGCTGCTGAGCTACTCAGACCATGTTTATGTCGCTGTCTGGCTAGACCTAGAACTCTCCTACAAAAGAACTAGCAGAAATTTGTCAGAGCACAATTGCTTTTGCTAGAAACTGTTCTTTTAAAAATTATTAACACATATTGTTATTGTTTGTGTCTAGATGTCCCCCAAAGTCTCATGAGGTCACAGGTGGGGTTTTTTTGGAGATAGATGGGTCTAAAGTGTGTGATGGATTCATGGTACAATGCTAGAATTAAGGGTATGAGTACTACCTACCCTGGATAAGGTACAAGGGACAGAAGAAGGCTTGCCGCTGGTCATTCTTGTTGGTCACTTGCTTGGTTTTACTGTCTTCTGCCTGCCACAAACTGTTTCTCCTCTGCAGTGCCCCTCTGCCATGCCGTCCTGCCGTTGGAGTCAGCCAGCTAAGAACTAAAACTGCTATTTACTATTAGCCAAGTCAACCTTTCTTCCCTTAACTTTCGTTGTTGAGCATTTTGTCTCAGCAACAAGAAAAAGTAACAAAGACACATATTAAGTGTAGAAATTAGTGTATTCCACTGTGGCATTTCCATACATGTGTGTCTTGAGCTTTGATCATGTCCTCCTTCCTTGGAGGTGATCTTAACAGCAGAAAATCAACTAAAGCAAAAACAGTGAAATGAAAATCTGTTTCTTACTCATGTTTGCCTGGTAATTACCATGGCAAAGGGAAAGGTTTTACCCAAAACTAAGTGCCTAACATTATTTTTTGCCCCATAACTAGCTATTATGAGATGTTATTTAAGTGGTCACACATATTTCTGTGCTTCCAGAATGGGCTCTAGAATCTTAGTTCTATTACCAGCTGTGTGATTTTGGTATGTTGTTAACCTGATGACCTTCTAATAAAATCATATTATTTTGTTATCACTCTCCTATTTATGAATCTCCTGAACTTACCTTACGTTTTGCTTTGACTAATGGGATACTGGTCACATCTAGCAAAGATTTGATAAACATTTGTACACTTTATGTAATGCTGCCTTTACCAGGGGTGGAGCACAGCTTAGTTTAGCTTCCTTGAGATCAAAAGACCTTGAAGGGAGAAAGATCTGCTGAGCCCTACTCCCAGCTCACCTTTCAGTGGTGTTCAGTTACGTGAGGAAACCATTCTAATTAAGTCCTATTCCAAGTCAGTCCCCCAGGGGTACTAGCAAAAGACAGACAACCTATAGAGGTGTTAGAAGTAAAACATTGCTTTAAACCACTATGTTTTAAAATTGTTTGCTGTACATACATAGGCAATGGATACCAGAACCTTGGGCTAAGTCTCTAAGTATTAGAAACCAGAGCTGTTTCTTCTATGAAATAGGAATAATAATATTCATTCTGTAGGAATATTCTAAGGACTAAATGTAATGATGAATTTGATTAGTCCTACATTGTCCATAATAGCCATTAGCCTTTTAGAAATTACACCTTTGGTTGTTGTATTTCCTGCTTCTTTATCTGTAAGAGAAAAGGGGATAAGTATTTTTTTCTATCATGAAAAGTTAGCTCCAAATTCCCCATGTGAACTGCTTCATAGGTCCATCAAGAATGATTAATATTCATGAGAAAAGTTTTCCTTCTCCGGGGATAAATTTGGAAGTTGTTTCATCTAAAGAAAGCATGACTTACCAGAACAATCACTTTGGCCTCATGAATGTTGATCTGTTTTTAAACAATTCCATGGGCTTTGCCTTTAGACTAGCTAGTAACTACGGGAAGAGAGTTTGTGCTGGCACTGGTTTAAAAAGGCACATAAACACAGAACATAATTGAGAAAAACAGTTTATTCATTTTCAAAGAAAAAACATCCAACATCACCCATCATATAACTTGATGCTGACTCAAGGTAGCATATAGCACAAATTATTTGCTGCAAGAGTATATATTTGTAGAAAATGAAGTTTAATGGTGTAATTATGGAGAAAATTACAGCCCTGTTTACCAGGCATTCTAAACAAAATTTCTCTAAAGATGTGTAATGGTAGATCAGTATATTTGAAAAGGTGATGTGCACTGAAGTAGCTGAAGGATCCA